GCATTGGACCGCAGCCTGCAGACTCACTTTGCCATATGAGTTTGAGAGTCGACGTCAGTTGGCTTGTAAGCACAAAACAGCTTAAGACTAAGCTAACCATGAGCCCCGCGGGCAAAAAATATGTTTCTGTGTTTCATTTTCCTGTCTCAATAAGGGGAAATATTGGTGCCTAACAAGTTCAGTTCAGTTCCTCAGACGTGCCTGGCCCAGACGGAGAAAAAAAGCATGACTTTAGTTTGAGAACAAAAAGACACAGGTTTGGTTTATTCTTGTGGCCAGTGTTTGTGATTTCTTTTTTCTTTTTTCTTGCTGCGTCTGATATCACTTTAAAATAAGGCTCCAACATGAGTGTAAATGTAAGTATGCATCAGTGTGATTTTTACCTTTGATTTACAGTAGAGCCTGGATCCTGCTCGGTTGAATGAGTATCACACTGTAAAAAAAAAAGGGAAAAAAAAGGATTCAGAGGGGATGAAGAGCTGATTCGATCCACCTGACCTCTCGTTAAAGATGCATCCTTAACTGTGAATATTAGCTTTGATGTTCCATTTTCATGTCAGGCTAAAAATCCAACTCCAGACCTGATCAAACGGGGGCTGAGCGAGCACGCTGCGTATACGGTCACCTCCTGGAATCTGGCATTTTGTTTCTTCCACTGTGGAAGAGGACTTTTTTAAACCGTAGGGAAAATGTCAGCGTACTCTGATTCAAATGATTCAAATCACCCATTTTACTTCCTGCCTAAACCGTCACATGTTAAATGTCAAGCTTTTGGCTGCTGCTGAAACCTTAAAAACCACATTTTAAAAAGTCAACTGAAGAGTACAAAAAAAACACACATCTAGTCCCTGCACGTCGTCAGAAAAAGCTGCAAACATGAGGGCTGCAGCATCGAGGACACTGAGTTATTATGTCTGGATATCTATGGAAAAGCAACCTCAGGAGATTAAATACACACACACATAACTCCTTGGATTCTTAAAAAAAAGGCCCATTCGGCAAAACATTGGGGATAAAATTTTTATATTTTGATTCCTTTTGGGGCAGAGATGATATTTAGGATGAATGTTCATTCAATTCATTTTAAAATCTGGTTCCTACTTTGACATATTTTCCACTTTAAAGGCAGGGTTGGTAAATTTTGAAAAACTAGCATGATTTTGAAAGTAGCATTCCCTCAGTGCTCCGTCTGCACCCACCCCCCTCCCCTCTGTGCTCCTTCTTAAGCCACGCCCCCTCACTTATATGCACGAGCTCCGTTGCTCCAGAAGCGGACCTCAGCTCATGCTTTGAGTGTGGGCTCATTCATGCAAGGAGGTAGGGAGCAGGGAGACAGGGAGGCGTCTGATTGGTTCATCAGATTAGGTACCTCGTGGCAGACATTGGCTGAAGTTTTTATAGGCTTACAAACTGATACAGATGATGGATTTTCTTTGTTCCTTTTCCAGAGAACATGAGTTATTAATTTCTGTCAGGACCTAAAGACAATTTACACCAAAATCTGAAGAAAAAAGTGGATCTGGAGGAAATGACCAGCCCTGACTTTAAATGAGAAATAGATAACAAAAAATGTGGAATTATTTTGAGTAAATTGCTTCAGCCTGCAGCAGTGGGACAGAGTGTAGTGGTTGTGATGTAATGCCTCGGTGGGGGGAGGAGAAGATCTCAATCAAAGCACGTCAGCGTCGGCGTAAATTGCTTGTTTTTGTCCCTGACGGGCTCAGTGTCTGACAACATCACAGAAAGAATCCCTGCAGAGATAAAGCTTTTTTAAATTTCACACCAGAGAGAGAGTCGTTTTCTCTCTCCGTTTTAAAGCCACCAAACTCCATTAACAAAAACAGAAACAAAAACAGTCCTGGTCCTACTCCTCCTACCCCTGTTCAGACCGCCGTTTTCAAGCCGATGACCGATGTTTCACCTTCAGTCTGAATGTTGTGACGGCGTAATGTGGGGACGAGGTGATACCCCTAATGTACCGTCTTCAGAGGTAGTAACAGTTTCTGAGGAGCCAGCGGGGGGGAGTGCAGCTGTGTGTGTGTGCATGTCTGACCCCGCCCCCGCTGTGCCGTGCTTCCTCAACGCCGAGACGCGATGTGACCTCATAGACTGGGATGCCAACAGTCACCGACTCGATAGCAATGTACAAAAAAGTGATGACGGCTCTTTTGTAAAAGAGGCTTGTGTTATCGTAAAAAGTTAAATTAGCAGCCCAGCATGCTTTTATTGACTTCAGTCCATGAAATGACCCCGCCTTTATTTGGGACAGGCGTCAAAACGAGACGTGCGTTGAGATGTGAAAAGACGATAAAACTGTAAATCTACACCATCCTGCTGCTCTGTGGGGGAGGAGGGGAGGGGAGAGACACCTTAGTTGATGTGTTTTTGATCTGCACACTAATCAACACTAAATGAATCAGGGCCTCTAAGTGAGAGCGGCCTTAATTTGTCAAAACATGCAGCAACAACAAGCTAATAAAAGGCCCGGGCCTTGTAATTGAGATGTTTTGTAATAAGAAGTTTTAGGGTATCTTTGTAGGTTCTCAGTCAACCACGTCATGGTAAATTTAAAGCTTGATCCAAAAGCAACTGGACTGGTTGAAGATCTTGAATTTGAAGGTCTTCAACCAAGTCCAGTCGCCTTTGGATCAAGCTTTAAAGTTTTACGGTAGTTTACAGTTTTTACAGGGTTAGTTTGGAGCCAACACAACGTAGCTGTGTAAAACAATACCAACAAATGGAGGTAGCTGTGGACAAACAAGGAGTCTGCTGGGTTTGAAGAGATTGATGCAGCAGCTGTGTCTGGTTAAAAAAAATCCTCTTCCTCATCTCTCTCTGCAGGGATCCTTTCTCTAATGTCGTCACAGACTTAGAATAACAATCTGAGGCCTGGCAGCGATAAAAGATGGCCTAGTGGTTAGCTCGAGCCCCATGTACTGTGGTAAATCCCTCCAAGCAGACGAACCGGGCTCCTTTCCTCCTGATGTCCTACTCTCTCCACTGTCCGAACAAGTAAAGCCAAAAAAAAGCCCCCCCAAAAATCTACTTTGATCAGACAAATTTGCTTATGTTGCCGCCATTACAGCCCGTAGCATTGCTGCAGGCTTGAAAAGAAAATCTCCTGTAGTCATTTCAAATGTGTCGTTTAGACATTTAGAGCACAAAATATGTGATTATAAAGCCGAGGTTCAAAGAGTACAGGAATAATACAGTAGAAGTAATTTGCTGTAAGATTTAGAGACACTTTAAGAAACATAAATTGGCTTCTATGAACTTCTCTAAACAAGTTGTGCAATCATTCGGAGGTACCTGACTGTGAACGTGTAGGAACCCTGCTTAACATTTCTAGGATGAATTTGGGGAAATTGACTCATTTGCTTTCTTACTGAGCGTTAGATGTGACTGTTGATACCGTTCTCCTGCCTGCTTCCTGAAACGTTCCCTCCACAGATTTGATCACCGCTCTCCTTTAACGCCGTCACATTCATGATATTAATTATTTTTCAAGGTTTCAAAGCGATGTAGCACAACCAGAGATACAATCCTTTTTTATACGACATGTCAAAAACCTTCTGCCTACATTACCCACAATGCAATTTGACTGTTCAGCGTTAGGTTCAGGTGTTATGCAGCCTGCAGACGCCAAGATCCCATGACTTCAGATATCTAGCTTCATTCTTAAAATAGTTTTTCATCTCTGAACTCGTCGTCTTCAACCCCAACCAACGATGACTCGAGTGACATCACTTGAGGTTATTATTTAGACCTTAAAAAAGCCTTGCCCAGAGGCACTTCAGACCGTTTAATACTTGTTGCACAAACAGCTGGACACGAATGATGACGTGTAAAATTTGTCCTTTTTAAATTCAGAGCTGTAGCTAATCATGATGTGATTAGCCTAGCTTAGCATAAAGACTGGAAGCAGGGGGAAACAACTAGCTTGGGTAAATAATACACTTACATTATGCCTCTAAGGCTCAGGAATGTTAATCATTTTATCTGTGCACCAAAAGTAATGTTTTAAAATGAACAAGGATGTGCAAGAAATATTTGAAGAGAAATAATTTCCCTGTAAATGAAAACTTAATGTGAGGAAGGGTGCGTTAAGCTTATGCAGGCCACACACTAGGCGATTTAAGGCCCCCTAAAAAATGAGAGGGCGTGGCCTAATTCAAGGTTTGCACCTAGCGTGGTTCAGGTCAAACTTTAAACTCTTTAATTTACAAATAACAAGTAACCAACTATTTTAAATGGTGACAGTTACTTTTAAATACAGATCAAATCACTGACATTTAGCCTAGCTTAGCATAGGCCTAGCTTAGCGTAAAGAGGAAAGCTTGTCGCAACAGCTAGCCTGGCTTGATCAAGTCTTTAAATGACCTACCCGAAGCGCCGGAGCTTTCAAATTATCTGCGTCATATTTGTTTTGGTTTCTACACTTACTCTAGCTTGACCGCTAACCTCTACAGGTATGAGAGTGGTATCAATCTTTTCATCTACCTTTTAGCGAGAAAGCTTCAATCTTATGTCACAAAATATTCGACTCTTCTGAACATCTGTTTGGACATCAAACAGGAAGAAAAGTGTCAGAACAG